GCGTGACCCTGGAGTCCTGGGATCAAGTCCCACATCGGGCTCCCTGCATGGAGCCTGCTTCTCCCTCTGCCTGTGTCTCTGCCTCTGTGTGTCTCATGAATAAATAAATAAATCTTAAAAAAGAAAGAAAGAAAGAAAGAAAAAATGTCAAACTGAATTCAAAATTCTTTTTAAAGAACATGAAGATACCAGGAGACACACCTTCAACACACCTTTCTTTTCTACAGTTGCCATTTCTCTAACGAACATGAAGCTGCCTCTCCAGGTTTGGGAAATTTCACAAAAACAAAACTCTCATTATACAACAAACAAACAAAAAACAAAAACAAACCATTTTTCTCATTATCATGGACAACTGAAAAGGTCTTTCCCAAAAACTCACTCTCCACAATGTCTGCAATAGATGCCTGTAGAAGCAGGGAAACATCCATGCTCCTAAGAAGACTGCATATTGCAGACCTGGCTAGGATTCCCCTGCGCTTGTTCGGGGCATCCCTTAGCTTGGTGCACCTGCCACATCCTGAGATACAAGAAGTTCAACTGGGGCTACTGCGGCCAATGCTAAATTGTAGGGACCATTTTTAATGAAATGCTCCTACTTCAGAAGATTCCTAATCGAGGGAGATACCAAATACCTGACTGGCCCTTTGATCCTAAAGGCTGTGGCTGCTGTTGGCCTGAGGGGCCACTGAACACAATAAAGAAGTACCCTCTGTTCATCACAGAACTCTGTGCTGTGGTGTGTCTGCCCTCAGCTCCAGAACATGAAAGTAGGAAAGAGTTTGAATTTACCCATCTGGCCACAAATCTGGATTAGTTGTAATCATTTTGATCTCATCATTTTGCTTGTCTGTTAAGGTTTAAGTTATCCGGGGCACCCGGGTGGCTCAGTGGTTGAGCATCTGCCTTTGGCTCAGGTTGTGATCCTGGGGTCCTGGGATTGAGTCCCACATCCGGCTCCCCACAGGGTGCCTGCTTCTCCCTCTGCCTATGTCTCTGCCTCTCTCTCTGTGTTTCTTATGAAAAAAATAAATAAAAATCTTTTTTTTAAAAAAAGATACAAGTTATCCAAGGGTGGTCAAGTCTCATTTATCTTTTTGTTATTTTCCAACACATAAACACTGGTTGGATAAATGAATGAGATAAAGAAAAGAATGAAAAATACAGGGCAGCCCTGGTGGCCCAGCGGTTTAGCACCGCCTTCAGCCCGGGATGTGATCCTGGAGACCCGGGATTGAGTCCCACATCAGCTCCCTGCATGGAGCCTGCTTCTCCCTCTGCCTCTCTCTCTCTCTCTCTGTGTCTGTCATGAATAAATAAATAAAATCTTAAAAAAAAATGAAAAACACAATTTTCCATCCTGAAATAATGAAGGTTCACCTCAGATCTATAATCAAGTTTTCCTTACACCCATTTGTTGATACTCTACATGATTTCAGTGACCACGAGTTAACATGTGAGCCGCTGGCATCATGAGATGTATGTCAGTTTATGCGATACCAACTGAGGAGCTTCTTTCTCCATAGGGCAACTTTGTCAGACGACACACCTGGAGGATGATGGCATGAGGAAGGAAGAGGTAGGCGGAGGGACAAAACCAAATATTTACTTAGTATTTAATTGATAAGGAGCTTTCATATTTATTATATGTTTAAGGATGACCACAATTTTCGGAATGGTGATCATTTTCCCAAGAACTAGGGAATAAATTCATCTACTCATTAAATTTACCAACCTCCCTTCTCGCTGTGGAGATAGAAATAGGATGGGGCCTCTCTCTTGGAAATTCTCTCTTGGTAGAACTGCTGGTCAAGCCTTAGTCAAGGCTGCCTGCAAGGCAGGGGCCCTGAGAAGGCAGCCTGCACAGCTAGGCCCACGTGTGAGCAACAGGAAAGCCATGCTCCTTACAGACTGCCCAGTGAGCAAAGGAGATTCAGGTGCTTGTTGACCATCGTGGGCATGGGAGTGGGACAGGATGAAGAAATGGAAGTCTACAGATAATCTTCAGGCCTTCGTAATCATGGGGCACCAGGGTGGCTCAGCTGATTAAACATCCAACTCTTAATTTCAGCTCAAGTCATGATCTCAGGGTCGTGGGATCCAGCCCTGCATTGGGCTCTGCTTCTCTCCCTCTCCCCCTCCCTCTGCTCATGCTCTAGCTCTATAAATATGCAAGTAAATACATAAATAAATAAATAAGTCTTTTAAAAACAAATCTTCAGACCTCATCAGGACCACCATTTCCTCTACCCTTATTCCAGTTTTCTACCAGATTCTAAATAAGGCAGCTAAACAGGTTGGCCAAATATTACCTTTACTAATAGTCCATTTCCCTGTCCCTGGCTTAAGTGTAAATACTGAGGCAGAAAATCATCATCATCATCAGAAGAAGAAGAAGAAGGAAGGAAGGGAAGGGAAGGGAAAGGAAGAAGAAAGGGAAGGGAAGGGAGAAAGAAAAGAAAAGAAAAGAAAAGAAAAGAAAAGAAAAGAAAAGAAAAGAAAAGAAAGAAGTAAAAAAATCCCACTAAGATGATAGATATAATCCATACCTGAACAATCAGGCATCTTGGCAAAAACCCCAGAAAACTATCAGCGAACACTCCAACACTATTTACCGTAGAGCCTTAAATAGTATCTTTGACACTGAGGAGCAGGCTGCTTCTGGATGGGGGGTAAAAACCTGCCATGATTAAGAAATCCCTTTAGATCTCTTTTCCTGTATTCTATAACTAAAATAAAAGGACATGAGAACCATCCATTCCACCTCCCTCTCCTCCTCTTAACGACACACACACACACACACACACACACACACACACACACACAGAAGCTGAACTATGGGAGCCTCTGCGAGCAAATCTGGACATTCCTCCCCACTGTCCTATACAGTAGGATTGCACAATATGATGCAGCAAAATGCTCCAAGTTCCACAGCCTCTAGGGATCAGCATTTAATGAACTCGGTTGGCATTTCTGTAATATGAACCATCAATACTACATTCTGGTTCAAAGGCACCTATGGTTGGAATAAAGGAAACAATTTGGGGCACTTTTCCCCACCCCTCTGCAGAAATACTTTCCGTGGGAAAGGAGGAGGTGGGGCAAGAGAAAGAAACACAGAAAGTGGCACAAACTGAGAAATAAATCATTCTTTGCAGAAACCTCCACAGCCTTGTGCAAAGGGGGGAAAAATGCATGAAAGGCTCATTTACATATAAAACTAAAAGAAAGTTATAAATGCTACCATTAATACTGTTTAATTTATTCTATATTATGAAACAGAAAAAAATATTCCAAATGGAATTATTATCCTAAGACAAAAAAATAATAATACAATTGTTTCCTGTTAGGAAACATGATACTGTATATCTAAAAACAGCATGAACAACTGTTACCCTGAAATAACCATAAACATTCAGACATAAATCCTCAGGGAAAAAGGCACAACTGTAGTTAATGTTATAAAGCTGTATTCCTCAAATTCAGAGGATAGTTCCACTGAACAACAAAGCACAATTTATATTCATTTCTCTCGTCAAAGGCTATGTCTAAGGACTTATTTTAAATCGCCACGTCTTTAAGACCTCACATTATATAGATACTTTACATCCTAGAACTTGATGAGAAATACAATATTCATTTATAGAAGTCAATGTATATTTTTGAAAGGATCAGATATAACTAAAAGGAAAGAAGCAAAGTTTACTGTGACACTCCTGGGCTCTTACAAGAAAGCTCTCTGGAATGGTTAAAACTACTTATTTCCCTTAAACTAGTGAAAGGAGGACACTCATGTTTCTTGCTTCATGTGAGTGATAAAGCAAAGTCTCAAGAATTAGAACAATAAACTGAGGCTTTCCTCCCTAAAATGTAGTCAGCAAAATTTATGAGATCTAAAAACACAGGCTCCATTAGTTTAGCAACACAGAAGAAATATCCTGTTCTTGCACAGATGGAGCCACTGAGGGAGGCAGAAAACTGTGGGTTCCTTCAGGGATTCTGTTGTATTCATTTTTTGAAGTGCTGCATCCACCCTGACCCACAGAGGACACCCACCAACATTCCGTCCACTGACTAAGTGATGAATGAATGAATGAATGAATGAATGGAGTATGGCAAAAGATGCCTGATCAATACCCACTTTATCAGAGCCTGTATGCAAACATTTTTCCTTTCTCCTTCTCCCTCAATCTTTTTCATGTTCTGTGGCAGACCAAAGATGGTTGCAAATCCTTTGTCATTGTGTCCATGGGACGGACATCTCTTCTGCTATCTGCTTTAATCTAGGGCAAATCTGTGATTTCTTTGATTAAGAGCATATGGAAGAAGTGATTCTGTGACACTTTCCAGAACCAGATCCTAAGACACTGGCAGATTCTACGTCTTGTTTCTTGGAACATTCTCTCTGGGAAAACCAAGCTGCTATACACACTAGTGAGACTGCATGCTAGCTAGAGGTGCCATATATAGATACTCTAGGTTTTAGTTCCAACTGGGTCCAGTCTTCCAGTAATCCTTAATCATGATGCCACACACCTGAATAAAGCCATCTTGGACCCTCCAGACCAACCCAGCCACCAGGTGAATGCTACTAAATTGGCCTTCATCAACACCACGTAGAGCAGAAGAACAGGCCAGCTGAGCCCTGCCCAAATTCCTGACCCACAAAACTGTTTTAAGCCACTGTGTCTTGGGATAATATATTACACAGCAATAGTTAATTGGAACACAGTATTCCTCTCCTTATAGAGATCAGCAGTAGAACCCAAAGGCAGCATGCTAACATAGCTAGTCCTCATACACATACGTTTGGCTCTGAAGACAAATGCAGGTAGATGTTGGGAGAAAAAACCGGATTCTTAACTCATATGGTCTGGAGTAGGCTCTGGGCCTTGAATGCTTCTAGACAAAGATTTGCCCCAATGGCCAGCAGCTACCTACCCTCTAGCCTTGGCACCCAAGATCATGGAGCCTCCAGCAGGTACCACAGAAGGCCATACCTGCCTCATGAGCTCCTCTTGACGCATTCTGATCCGCTCTCTCTCCATCTGGATCCTCTGAAGCCGGAGCTTCTGCTGCTGCTGCTGTTGAGTGGTCAGAGCATTGGGCATGCTCATGAGCCCTGCTGGTGGGTTCTGGGTAGGGTGGTTCTGCTGGCTCAGGTTAGTGGGTGCCATTTGCTGCTGGTGCTGGTGATTCATCACTATAGGAGGGAAGAACATAAGGGGATTAATGAACAGGTCCTACAATACCTTATCAAAAAGAGACCATCAGAATGCTCTGTGCTTTGGCATATAGATTCCTGAGATTCCTTCCAAAGTACTTTCCTGTTAATCATTACTGTTTAAGTCATTATTACCTTAATTCAATTCGTGGAGACTCAGGTACTGGCCCCATTCCTGACTCATCTAGTCTTGGCATTTTGTGCCCTGTTAAAAATTACTTCACACCTTCCCTGTGTCTAGAGCACATTTTAAGCCTTTAAGAACATAGTGGTCAAAAATAAATTCCACAAAAGGTTACCACAACATAGGATGTAATTTCAGCAGGACACGTGGGTGTGTGTGCACCTTCTAGACAACCTGCATGTTTACAGCAGAGCTAAGGAGGGCATGACCTTACAGATATACAGCGGTGGACGATAATATCTATGGTGATGAGTGAGACAAGCAAGATATAAAACACAGCATCTAGACCAGGCCCCTACACAGGAGGACCCACTGATGCTTTCTTACAAAAGGGGACCCCAAAGAAGCATGAGCTAAGCTCAGAAACAAATATCTTATTGAGAAAAAGAAATGTTTTAATTTTTGCAAAGGGAAAAATTAGTGCGAAAGAAATTACATGAAAATGATAATCATAGAGGCACCTGTGTGGCTCAGTCGGTTAAGCGTCTGCCTTGGTTCAGATCCCGATCTCAGGGTCCTAGGATCTAGTCCTCCGTGGAGCTCTCCGCTTAGCGGGAGTCTGTTTCTCCTTTTCTCTTCTGCCCTTCCCCCTGCTCTTGCACACATGCTCCCTCTCTCAAATAAATAAAATCTTTAAAAAATGATAATCACAGTGCAGTCCGTTACGCACTGGACTCTTGGTTTCAGCTGAGGTTGTGATCTCAGGGTCTTGGGATCAAGCCCTGCATGGGGCTCCACGCTCAGCATGGAATCCACTTAACACTCTCCCTCTCAAATAAATAAATGGATCTTTAAAAAAATGATAATCACATTTGTGATTGGATAAAGGCATTCTAGAAGTGTTTTAGATGTCTTAAGGATTTTCTAGTTATCTGCATTTCTAACATCTTAAATTTTAGCATGCAGTACTGCTTCACTTGAGGAAAGCATTTTAAAATCCTTTAATAAATTCTATAATTGGTATCCCCAGGCACAAAAAAAACCCCACATCTTAAAAAAAAAAAAAAGTGCTAGTTTTTCTTAAAACCGTTTACCAGTCAAATTTGCTTAACTTCTGCCTTGGCAATATCCTATAATTAGGAAAACCATGCCTTTCTGTCTATTTGCTCTTACGCCAGGGCCCAAAACAATATATAGTCTTGTATACTCCATTTCTAAGGAAAAACTCAATTTTTGCTGTATTTGGTAACACTGTCTTTAAAAAGAAAACTATTAGCATCATTTATTTAAAGTCTAAAAGTTAAATATTTTAGACCTTTCATTGGGAAGACATGGACATCGTGTGGAAACAGGTTTTTGCATTTCTTTTTTACATTTAAATTCAATTTGCCAACATATAGTAGAACACCTACCTAGTGCTCACACGTCAAATGCCCTCCTCAGTGCCTGTCACCCAGTCACCCCATCCCCTCATCTTCCTTCCCCTTTCTGCAACCCTTTGTTTCCCAGAGTCAGGAGTCTCTCATCATTTGTCTTCCTCTCTAATTTGTCCCCACTCAGTTTCCCTCCTTTCCCTTAGAGTCCCTTTCACTATTTCTTATATTGTAGAAACAGGTTTTATAATTAAATTTTCTTAAGTGAATTTTAAAATAAATTTTAAAGTTACCTTACGTAATATATAATATGCAGCTTTATGCTACTTTATGTAACATATGCATAGATGTAACATGTTCATTTAGTGTGTATTTATTATACACATTAAACATATATAGAGGCCCTTCTCTCTCTCTCTCTCTCTCACACACACACACACACACACACACACACACACACACACACACACTCGAAAGACAGCACCAACACAGAGGACTTTCTGTGGACAAATTGGTTTCCTTAAGGAACGACTAATTCCATAGCAGGAACTTCCTCTGGATGGGGGTAGAGGTAGGGCAAAAACATTCTTTTTAAAAAAAATTTATTTATAACTCACTCAAATCTTGACTGCATTTCCTGTGTGCCAGGCACTGGGTTTGGAGTTGGATAAATAGCTCCTGCCCTCACAGGAATTAACAGGCTCTTGGAAGGAATGTGTGAAGAAATGAGGTGAATTTACATGTGGAGCTGCGGAAGGCCAGAATGTTAGGTTTTGTCAGGATTCTTAGGAATGATCCAGCCCATCCCTTTATTTTATGGGAGAGAGACTGAAACCCGAGGGCGGTAAAGGGTTGTGCTCCGGTGAGCGCCAGGTAGAACCAAAGCCCAAGAGGAGGCCTCCTGACGTCCGGTCCACCCGCTCTCCCAACTGTCCTCGGCCGCCCTCTGTCACGCCGTCCGCTGAGGCACAGAGACAGCTGCTGAAAGGAGAGCAACCCTCTGAACGGTCTGCCTGCAGTAGCAAGAAGCTTACCAATTAAACAGTAGGTCATCAAAACAGGGCCTTGGGCCCAGAGCTGCTCATCTTACAAACAGGAAGAAGGGTTCAAGGAAGGTCTGGATAGACAACTGTCTGCTCCTGAAGGGGAGGTAAGAATAGTTGGGCACGTTTTGGCTAACCAGCGCCTAACCAGCCTAGGATTTCCTTTCTGCAGAACCCTCGCCTTCTGGCACCATTCCTGGCACACAGGGAGGCTCACTAAATGATGAGACGAATGAATGAGACAAGTTGGCAATTCCTTATATGTTCTCGGTTTGAGAACCAAAAAAAAGCACAGCCCCCGTGGGTGCAGAATTACTGAGATGAGCGTTTTGTTGATCACATGGCCTTCTAGAAATGGTCAGATCATTTTACAACCTCTATTGGAAGGCCTGGGTAGGAAGTCAGGGATTGTACACACACTGTGATCACTGGGGCGGGGAGGGGGGGGGGAGTGCTCTTAAATACAGATGAAAGGTAAGACAAAGTCAAGACAAAGTCTTCATGAATCAAGCCCTCTTTCAGCCCAAAAGGAAGCCAACATGGAAGAAGAATGATTATTTCCAGGGATAGACATTTCTGAACTTCTGAAAAAGCATGCTCTTATTTTTTTTTCTGACGTAACTACTATAGACAAAAAAAGATGCCCAATTGTGTCTAGAAAACGAGTCTGTAAATTGCTGTAAATTGAAATATTTTCAATATCAGAAATCCCCAGACTAGGAAAAAGAAGCTTGAAAGATTATTTATTTATGTATTTATTCATGAGAGACACAGAGGCATAGGCAGAGGGAGAAGCAGGCTCCATGCAGGGAACCGGACGTAGAACTCGATCCCAGGACCCCAGGACCCCGGGACCACACCCTGAGCCGAAGGCAGATGCTCAACCACTAAGCCACCCAGGCGTCCCGGAAAAAGCTTTAAAAAGTTAGTTGTTTGTTGGCAGCACAGAGGTTATTAATTGTAAAAACTGCCTCGGTTCTGGGAACTTAATGATGTGACACAAACATGGAACAAGACTATCTTCAGTGACTTGGGGAGATTGCCCTGTCAGGGTACAAAACCTGCAACTGGACTCTGTGCGTCAACTCCGCTCAACCACCAAATACTGCTCGAGTTTATTAGTGTCTGCCTCCTTATCTGGGGGAGCTGGAGGCTTGTAGAGGAGCTCTTCTGAAGCCACACCCTTGCTAGTCTTCCAAACACCAGGCCTCACACAGACACCGACAGGGAGGAATGAGGGAGACGTTGCTTTCCCCCACTTAATTTTGAATCAATCGTGCAGACTGAAACATCTCCAGCTATTAAGTAAAGAGACTAGAAAAGAATGGAACTTGGACAATGGTTTTGCTTTCAAAATAAAGCACACCCGCCGACAGAACTTTGGTCTGAGAAGATTCACCACGGTATTGTGTACGATAGCAAAAGACTAAGACATTCAGCCCACCAGTGAGAAGTTATGATCCATCTGTTCAGAAATTCTATATGACTGTTCCCGAGAATGAGGGAGCTCTGTAGGTATGTAAATAGAACAATCTCTAGGAAACACAGTTCAGAGAGGAAAAAAAACCCAAGGGATGGGATTATATACACGAGCATGCCATTGCCTGTAGTAGTTAGAAAGGGAGGACATATATACGTATACAGCGAATCTCCCAAGGAGGATACATGAGAGACTGGTAACAGTGGGTTCCTCTGGAGAGGAAAAACAGGTCAGGGATGGGAGGAGATCTTCCTTTTTTTCTTCTGTACCATTGGAAGTTTTCCTATGTGCATTTATTACTTATCTAAAACATAAAGATACAGAAGTAAAAAAAAAACACATAAAAACGTGGTCATGCATGCATCAAACTCAATTATTTTTTTAAACTCAATTATTTTCTTGATGGACTGAAAGGAGGCGACCCCAGAATTATCTGCTAAGCAACAAATATAGCTTAAGAATGTAATCAAGAGGGCAGCCCAGGTGGCTCAGCGGTTCGGTGCCACCTTCAGCCCAGGATGCGATCCCGGAGATCTGGGATCGAGTCCCACACCGGGCTCCCTGCATGGAGCCTGCTTCTCCCTCTGCCTGTGTCTCTGCCTCTCTCTGTGTGTGTGTGTGTGTCTCTCATGAATAAATAAATAAAATCTTAAAAAAAAAAAAAAGAATGTAATCAAGATCATCCAAACTGAGAGCCGTCCTGGTACAACTCCTCCTTGCAGAAATGACAAAAATCAATACCCAAAGGAAAAGTGAATTTGGTCATGGTCATAAAATGGTCAGGGGCCTAGAAGCCAGGTGTCCCAGGTCCACTGAGGTGCCCGTGACTCAACCCGCCACTCTGCTCCCTCTAGTCATTTGATTTCAAACTATTATTGAACCTTCTCGGAGCTTATGGCTCATGTTACTGATAGTTGAGGTTCTTTAAAGCCACTGCTTTTGTCAGCTACTCAGAGAAA